CAGCTCCCTCAGCTGAGGCCATATATTTAGAAGTGTTTCATTTTAGACAGCAAAGCGATACACCAGATTTTTAGCAGATCAGCAGTTTAGTGGTGGAACACGTTAAAATTCTGGGAGCTGGGAGCAAATGCCATAAAAGTGAGTGGAACAACAGGAGCAGATCTGTTTTGAAATGCCAGTGGCTGTTGCCAGTTTGACTTCTTTAGCTAAATCCTGAACTGAAATTGAAAAAAAAAGAACAAACCACCTTGAATTAACAGTGGTCAAAGTCCAGAAGAATGAATATTTCATTGATTCTTCCAGTTTTGACATCAGTATTTCTTAGATCCAAGGTTGGGTATTCACACTGCTAGCACTCGTTCCGGAATGGCAGCCTAGATTACCTATCTCTGATTAGATATAAGGAAAAACTTTTTCCCGCTGAGTGTGGTCAAAACGTTGGAACAGATTGCCTAGAGAAGTTGTGGAGTCTTCGTCTTTGGAAACATTCAAAACCCAGCTGGACACAGTCCTGGGCAAGGTGCTGTACCTGACCATGCTTTGAGCAGGAGGCTGGGCTAGAGATGTCCAGAGTCCCTTCCAACCTCAGCGATTCCGTGATTCCTAGTTTGTTCTGGAGGTTTGGTGACTTCATCCCTGTTTTCCCTGACAACGTGCTGTTGCTTACATGCAGAATCTGTGCAATCTGAGAATCAGGGGACAGCCTTACTGCTGAAATCCAGTCAGGGGTCCGAAATCCTTTTCTTCCGACAGGTCTGATCTGAGTACAACCAAGACACCCAACAGGAAAGACTTCTAACAAAAGACAGGGGTAGTGACTTTTCTTCTAAAACAAGGAAATTCATTTTCATAGTAACAAAATTTCTAGAATACCCACTGTGAAGATGCGAGTTCAGTTCCTTCCTTAGCCTGTCCAAGGTCAAACCCCCATCTTCTCAATTCCCCAAACTGCATTCTGAGCAGCACGCTGTAAGGCAGTTTGGAGCAAAGGCACTTCTGTCTTTGTTAAGATGCTCCGCAAGTTTTATCCAAACACCCTTTCACATAAAATTCGTGTCAGTATTTGGCCCAGGGGCTATAACTGAACTCCCTTGTTCCGAGGACGTGCCTGAATCATGAGATGCAACAGATGTTTTCTTGTACGTGAGGTCCTTCTCTTCTAACCAGCCCTCCCCAGGCAATCTGTGAGCGTTTCATGAAAAGGCCATGAGTTACAAAAAGAGGAGGAGAGCATGCCAGTTTATTTATCAGCCCTAAGTCTTCTCCTTCCTGCGCACTCCAACTGTTAGTGGTTAGAAGGTCAGCAGTAATGTCTCCCACTTCCACAGCCATTTCGTCATGGAAGGAAAGAATGAGACTGCTCAGTTCTTTGAAAAAAAAATCTGAATTTGTTCTTCAGGAGGTGCTTTTAGGCTGTGAATGGGAAACGACAGAAGGGCCTTTCTGCTGCCTGTAATCAGATACAATAAACCCAAGAAATGAGAAGCATTTGAGGTTTTTCTTCACACTTTGCATTTTGGTTGCTAACTGAAGGAACCTTTTGTTTCCTTTTGGATGCTACTCTGGAGGAGCTAACTCTCCTAAATGCCTTTTATGGGGAATTTAGGATCCTACCTATGGTTCTGGAGCTCACTCTCAGGATCAGCTCCATAAAATGCCATAAGTTTTAGGTACCAAGTGCTTTAATGAAATTGGCCCTAGGTGACCAATGTAAGATATCACACTGAATCCATAGAAGAACAATTAAAAGATCCCAAATTTCCTGAGCCTGGTTGTACTCCTCACAGCAACAGTGCATGAAATTTATGAGAGAGACTCATCACTCTCTGGAATAGTTATAACCAAATCAGCAGCCAGTGACAAAATTAAATGAAAAGATCCAGACCTTGTCAGCTCGTTGTTCTTACAAAAGGAAATTCATATCGTAATGTGCAGTCTAACTCCTCTGTGGCTAGAAACTGCATATACAAAGATTCATGTTAACATCTAGAACAGGAGGAAGGCCTTTTTAGGCATTATAAATATCAGCACTCATCACTATGTGCAAGGAGATAATTAGGGTAATTATTCCAAATTAACAGCTGCAAGCCCTGCAGATGGGAATTTCAGGGGCTGGTAACTATTGTAAGAAAGCATTTCTGCAAGCTGCAAAGCCCTTTTCATGCTTTGGAAAACATACATTTAATGACCCTCACACATGCTGTTAAATATTTTCATTAGTATTTCAAAAGAGAAATCTTTCCTGCAGTAGTATAATACTTCTGCTTTTCTTTGAAGCTGTGTTGGGGTCTGAGATACAGCCCAGGTTTGGAAAGATTTTTCCAAGTATTTAACCTCTCAGCTAAAGTAAATGAAGAACCAGGCCAAACTGGGACTCAAGTGTTGCTTCTGTTCTCAGTCCGTGAGGAAAATCAATGTCAAGGGCCCTTTCGTTGGCTTTTGCAGACAGCAGCAGGACTCCAGCTGTTTTCCTAGGCTCTACCTGAAACCTTCTGAGACAACACGTTGTCAAGCTTGCTTGCCAGGCTCCAGAAGCATTTCCCCTGTGTTTGTTGTATTCTGCTCCTTTGAATAGCTCAAGAGTGAAAAAACACCTATTTTAATTGTGAATAGTGGTTTTTCAACCATAAATACTTCTGTGATAGTCAACAAGTTACTCTGGAAAGGGATTCTTGGTGCGTTTGGGTGTACTGTAAGTACATCTCGAGCACAAATGGAGCAGGGCTTCTGGTTTTAGCTTTTATGTGAATTGGCTTAACTTACAAATTCAGAAAGCAAAAGAAATGTAATCAACAAAAATAGTAAGGCTCGTAACTGTAAGATTTGTTCTCATGAAGCTCCTCATCACAGTGAAGAAACAATTTTTAGATACTTCAATGTAAAAAATCAGTCATTCCTATCTTTTAAAGTAAGATTTCGACTTCAATCAACAAATAAGCCTGTGTTTACTCATTTAAATCCAATCTTTATCTAGTTATTTGAACATGGAATGTCAGACAAAAGAAAGTTGAGAAACTAATCATTTTTTGCATTTGAGTAAGTAAAAGGTTATTGATCAATGTCTTTTTAAACTTTCTATTTAATTATCTTCAAGCTAAAATGAAGTAAAGAAGTTTCAAGCCAAAATAGTTATTCTATGAAAAAGTTATGAGTTTTTTGAAAAAAGAATATTAAGACTGAACACAGTAATTCAGCTTTAGTACAGAAAATTGGATAGTATAGCTTGCAGTGGGCCCGTGTAGATGCCAATAAATGCTTTTTCACCATTTGAGTTTTGTTTTTAGCTACGCTGACATACACGTAACAAAAAAGATTTAAAAGTGAGAGTACGTTTGTATGAAATCAATTAGTTTTTCTTAATATAGCACTCTAATTCAGATGTTTATACTTAATAGTGTTGCCAGCTGTAGATAAAAGAAAAGCTTGAGAAAATATATTTATTTGGTATATTTTAGCTTTCTGGCTATTACAACTGTCACTGCATGTAAATACCTTTTAGGTCTCCTAGAATCTCAAAAAACCTTCCTCCAACAGTAATCTCATACATACTAGGTTTTAGAAAAGAAATGAGGATGATGTATGACATTTACAGGCTTCAAGTTTGGGAAGATTTTTCATGCTGCCTTTCCAATCACCATCCAAAGCTGAATAATATGAAAAGTTTGTTTCTTTGCACGATCTAACCCGTATTTCATTTAGATTCATGTTCTGTCCTATTACTTCGTATATGAATATAACTTGTAATTTTTTTCTCTGGTATTTGTCTCTAACATTTTTCTGATCTCTGTGATCTGTTTCATCTCTTCTTATCTGACTTCATCTTCGGTCTCACTTTTTTCTCTCCTGAGCCTGTTTCTTTAATTTAATGTCTGTATCTTTACTTTTAAAACTTCATTTCCCCCTTAATCGCTTTTTGGGACTCAAAGCACCAGATCTGTTCACCTGGTGCGTGGCTAATTCGTGTCTCTTGAGAAGGCAGTAAAGATGACAGTTGTTTAAATCTGATCTCCAAGACTGCTGAAACCAGTGAGAGCATTTGCTTCAGCTCCACAGTGAACTCTGTCTGTAGGTCTCAAATATGTTTGACTTGAAAGTCTTTATTCGACATCTTTCTATGCAGAAACTCCTTAATATATGTTTAACTGGAAGTTCAGATTTATAGTATGTTGGTAAATAATGCCATTGTACTGTTTAATATATATGAACTCATTGTGTTGATAAAGGATTTGATGCTGCCAAGTGCATCAGCCCTGGTCCACTGGTGTACTCTGTCACATCCTTCTTTTTTAACCATGAGTCATTATAATGGATTTCAGACAGCTGCTTATATTCCTTTAAGTTAAGTAAATGCTTAAGTGTGTTTCTGGATTAGGACCAGAGGACTCAGCACCTTGGAAGATTAAACAATGAGAACCGGCAATACTGGCAGGGACAGGCTGGCTGAATTTATCCATAAGTCTTAAAATAAGGATGAGTTCACTTTGGATTGGAAAATCTACTCCTGCTCAGTTCTCTGCCAGTTTGTGATGCAGACAGATATCCATCCACCAGCTGTGGATTATCTGACTACCAGTCTTACTATTTGAAAAACCACCTCAACTGCATGAAAGCAGCCTCAACCAAATGTATTCATAATTAACTGCCTATGTCCCTGACATGTTACAGCCTCCGTGAGCTATCTTGCAGAAAATCTATGTGCAAACTTTTAAGAGGTTAAACTAAGCTACTTCCTGCAATTTAGAGCATGTCTACAAGTAGATATTGCAACTCAGCTCACAAACCATGAGTTGACTGTTCCTTAGGCTCCAACATTTATAAACTGAAAATTTCCATTCTTGAAGTTGGAATGAAATTGCTAAATCATGTCTTTCTAAGTGATCTGTTTCTGAAAAATAAAAAATTCATGACTTGTCTTTGTAAAATGAGAAATTGAAGGAGGTATGGAAATATATGAAAAGAATAATGCCCATTTTGCGTGTGTGTTTTATGGCGTTCGTTAGGTACCTCAGGATGAATGGGGAGGATACCCAGCTGGTGGGAAAGACGAAGAGATCCCCTGCAGAAGGATGAGAAGCGGGAGCTATATTAAGGCCATGGGAGATGAAGAAAGTGGAGACTCTGATACTAGCCCCAAGACATCACCAAAATTAACAGTTCGACCAGAGTCATTATTAAAATCCATTGGACAAAGACCACTGGGAGATCACCAAAAGTAAGTTTCACTATACCATGTTACATACCTTTCTTAAAGTTGCTATGATTTGGCTAATTTTTCTTTGTGTCTTACTGGTAGTGGTCAGTATCCATGAGAAAATATGGTACTCTAGTGAAAAAGCTAACTTTGATGTCTTTGTTTTAAATTAGCTACAGTTTCTTGTGATTACTGGATGAAAAACTGCCATCTTCCTCCATCCATGTAACAAACCTGCTACTTCAGAAAGAGTTTGCTATGTTTACTGAAGGAAATATATCCGTATTTTTATCAAAAGTTTAAAATTCTGAATTTTTCTTCTCTAGAAGATTTTTTTTTATATTATAAGTCTTTTTATTTCATTGCTTTCTCTGAAATAGAAAATACACTCTATTCTATGCTAGGTATAATAAGAAATATATCATTGTATCATATATTTGACGTCTTATACCTTTTTTATTGGTGCAATGCTTTATGTATCAGCTATACTGTGTCATACTCATTTAAACACGTTGTGGAGGGTTTTGTTTGAGTGGGGGTTTTTTTCATTCATACTACCTACAATATGGCCTATTAAATAACTAAAGCAAGTTTTAAAACTAGAGGAAGATATGTAGGTATATATGTTTTCCAATAGATCTTTATTTTTCCCTCCTTTTTAGCCTTTCAATATATCATTTTATAACTAAACTGGAAGTATACTTCTGAAGACCATCTCAAAGTGGTATCCTGAGTTCAAATCTGCAGCTCCTATTAACGTGACTGGGTGTTTCTCGTGGCTTAGGAAATTGATCCTTTTGCCTGGGAGAAATACATAAAATGAAGAAATTAAGAGTGAAACCTTTGATGAAAGGTTGTTTATTGTTCTGTAGGTAATATCATGTAAAGTATACCATAGTGACTCACCTTTTCATAATGTAAAACAAAACACAAACCTTAGGCAAAAATCCTTTTGTCTTAATTAAACTGGATTATTTAGCTTGCAATCCGGAAGAAAGCCCTCAACTTTCGCTATTACTGAAGAGAACAGTTTGTTGTTTCATAGACCGTGCTCACACATCTCTGTGAGCTCAATTCAGATGCACAAACAAAGGTATCTGTGCCCTGAGATGCTGTCAGATTTCTGAGATACCATGAAACGAGACTGACAGGTCTCTGCTCTCAATTGGCAACTAAAATCCAGGCAGGATACCTTACGGTGTTGCAAAGGACGCCAGAGACCTATGTTTAGGCAACTGAGCCAAATTCTGAATGTGAATCTGAAAGATTTGCTAGAAGATTTGTTCCAATGATGAAAACATGGCCTATAACACAAGTATTGCTGGCAGACCTGTACCTGGCTGATTTCCAAAGATGAAAAGATGAGCTCTTAATGACAGCGGTTGGAAGCAACGTTTGAATTTTTGATATCATCAGTCATTGTATCTGGGCTGAATTTTGAGTTTGACGCATGCTGGCTAACTTGACTGGTTCAGTCCAAATTTGTGAGAGTCTCCAGGAAACAAAGAAAGTGGTTAATTTTCAGCTTGTCAGTGGGAGTAGAGGTCTTTCAGTGAGGAGCCCATCATTCCTCAACCATGGTGGAGACGTATGTTGTGAATTCTTCAGCCCCGGATTTTCTCATAAATGGCTTGGAAAGCTGTGGCTCCTGCAAAAGGGCAGTTACCCTCGGGGGATGAGATGTGCTAAGGGAGAGTGATCTAACGTCTGTGCCTCATTAAGAGTGACCCTTCTGAAGGCAACGGGGAAAGAGGAGATGGGCAACTTTCTCAGACTTCTACACATCAACCGGCTGTCTTCCTGCTGGTAAATTAAACATTTCCAGAACGCAGGCCTGAGTACAGAAACCTGACCGTGCACACTGAGAAGGTTTTGGAGTGGTCCCCAGCAAACTTGTCCCCTGGGTCTATTAGCACTGTCCCAGCCACTGCCTGGCCATGTTCTGGGCATTGGGGTGGGCCAGGGATCGTTCCCAGAAGGCAGTTGGGATGCAGCCATCCTGTTTGGGAGGGTATGTCCATTCTAGTACCACAAACTAAAATCTTTTCTCAAGAGACAGTTCTAACTTTCCAAGTACTTAGACCAAATAAAATGTGTTTATTCTGCCCTTTGTTTTCAGCTATGGTTGGGCTGCCCACAAGAGAATGTAGATAACAGCACAGATTTTCCAGTGAGTGATAGGTCTCATACCTGCCCTAGACCCCTAGAGCTTATAAACAGATCCAGCCGGCATCTAGACATACATATTCAAACAAAGAATATGTCCAAGAAAAAAAAAAAAAGTCTTTCTGATCTGCTAAATCCTGAAGGCAGGTGGTTATTAGTAGGTCAATACCAAATGTTGTGTCTCCTGTCATATTTCCATGTATTGCAACTACACCGCTCAAAATATAATTGATTAAAACGCGGGTGTGATGCTGAGGCAGTATACTGGGGTTGACAGCTGTGCATGTTCGTGCTCCCAAAGGATTTAATGGCATAGTTACCACTAACTGCAGGCAGAAAAGGAGGAAGCTTTTTGTAATACTGTGAAATACTATTAGGGGCTCTGTTGAGAATTTGTCGCAAACACTGCACTAGGAATAATTGAGCAGCCAGGCTGCTGCTGACAGATATCTTTTAAATCCTTGGTTTTCCCTTAAGCTGAGGGACAACACCTTGAATCTGCCAGCCTAACATACACCTTTTTTTTTCCAGTGAACTTCAGGCAGAAATGTGACAACTATTCTGGTTCTTGCAAAAACTCTGCAAATTTCAGCAGTCCTAAAGCAGACAGAAAATTTCTTGTCTCGCAGAAATACAAAGTCCTGATCCTAAACCTGGGTTTTCACCACAAGCCATCTCCTCTCAGTACGTCTCTGTCTCCCCGTCACTGTGGTCACCTTTTTATGTCCGGCGGATTTCTATGAAGGATGTAGGGAGGGATGATGGTTATGGAGCCTGCCTTCCTCCGCCAGCACGGCTCAGTAATCCCCATTGCGTGCCGAGGCCCCTTTGTACCGCTGCTCACGCTGCTGAGCCAGAAGCCAAGGTTTT